TATCTATATTACATTTCATGTCTGATCCAGACCATACCTGTTTCATGGACTATCTTGGAAAAAGTGAGAACAGGAGTTGTGTATCTGCCTACTTCTCTGGCTATTGCTTGCTGGCTTTTGAATATAGGGTTTCATGGTTACCACTGCACTGTCTCCAGTAAAAAAAACATTGCTGGACTGAAGAACCAATAGGAATATGGGCACATGCTCTGTGTCTCTCCTATGCAAATTCTTGTTGAGTGAATCGTGGGAGAATCTTGCCACTCACCAGCTCTCAGCTGCTGGACCATGGGGAATCCTTACTGATAGGGATCTGATCTCTAGGTCTAGAACGAGGGGTTCTCTATGATGAGAAGTGGGGCTGCTGTGACACAGGAGTGTAGCATGGGTCACTCCACATACATAGCTATGATACATCACAATCTTCAAGTGGACAGTGCCCTCCTCCTGCAGCTGGCATGGAGCCCATAGACTGATGGTAGAGTTGAAGTAACCATACCATACACACGGATGCTTATCACAAGTACTATTCTTCCATAGATGGTTGTGACCTATTGAGTCTGGTGGTAGAGGAGGTAAGCACACAAGGTACAGTTTGAAGGAGTACACATATTGGCTGTCTAACAGCTTGTGTGTGAGTACTTGGATGGTTATGTATTTATTCTGCCTGTCCTAGTGACACATTTCTGGCTTTTCTGCCTCTTCTTTCATACACAGAGAATACATCCTGGATGAACTGAGATGCGGTTTCTCACAGGTGTGCCTCTATGAAGCCCCGACCATTGGGTTTCACACTCCATGTGTTTCCTTCAGATGCTTTCTGAAGAGAACTCTTCTAGGTAATCTTTGCACTGGTCCCTCCATCACCTCAATGTGTGATTGAGGTGAGTATTCTGATCGGGAGTTAAAATTACCTTACCTGGAAATGTATTTTCGATAGGCACTCAACTCCCCACATGTTCTTCCCATTCTTTGCACTTTCCTGGTGCACATTTCTTTATTGCCTCATTAAAGAATGAAGATTCATGAGAGCAAATGTAGAGGGCATTACTGAGTGTGGAGGTGCTTCACACTCCTATTGGTGGAGGGTTCTGCTGCATCATTACGTCATCATGCCATGCTGCAAATTCACTTGGGAGTTTTCACAAGGCTGGTGACTAGCAAATATCTGGTAGATCATGAGGAAAATAAGCTATTCTGTGTGAAGAGGTATGTATCAGAAATATATTTTCAGGTAAGGTAAATGTTAACTTTATGTTAGCCAATTTTGTATCAGACTTTAGAAAGTTTATGTGTAGAAATAAATATAAATCTGTATTTATGTAAGGATTAATCAGTAAATACATACATATTTCAAACATATTCATGGTAAATAAAAAAGAAAATGGTAGAGACAAATCATAAGTGAAGCACAAAAAATATAGGGCATAAAACAAATGTGTGTTTTGTGTATATATATATATATATTTAAACTAATAATTAAAAGCGTAGCATTGTAGTTTACAAAATATGTATGTATTGAGTATAATTCCAAAACATACTTATCTCTGCTGCCACTTATAGCTATTACTTTACTGTCAGGGTTTCTTCTTTGCCCATCTAAGCATTAGTCAGATTTTTTTTCTCACTTGCTTCAGTCTTCTATACCTCACTCAATTGCTCTTGGTGATATTTGTCTCGTGAAACTTTCCACCTACATAAGTACACTCTCTATTTTGGTACTGTATGTAAGCACCTCGTTTAGATAATTTTATCACTTTTTCTCGACAAAGCATCACTAATGGGTTTTCTGTGTTTTTTCCTTTGGTCTCTCATAGGCTTAACATGGGTTCTACTGTATCGTACAAGTTTTCTCATCTCCTTCATTCCATTGTACTGTGCACACACCATTCCATGGATGATTGGTTACTTCTGGCAACATCTTGTCAATTGTTAGGCCACCACATCCTGCTTCTACTTTCAGATCCAACCCTGGCAGCCTTCTCTTTTGGGACTGCAACATCTATTCTTGTTCAGTTCAATATTTCATTAGCCTGGTTATTTTTTATTTTTCGTCTCGTCTCTCAGGATCACACTCTGCGGTGGGTGTTGCCAAGACAGGTGTGCTTTTATCAAATTCTGCACTAGCAACCACTATTTCACTATAATTACTACCAGTTTCAGCAGGCTCTTTCAAAATGAGGTGTTCCATAAGATCACCTAGGAGCTCACCAGGTGCTATTACCATACTATGCTGGACTGCCACTCATGGACTATCATAAGTAAAGCTAAAGGGTATCCTGCCTATCCCTGCTGATCATTGGATTGAATAAATTGGGGTCAGTTTACTTTTAGAAATTTAGGAAACTAAATTCTGGATTCTACTAGTGGAGTTAGGGAGTCCTAACCACATCTGGTTTCCAGTCAGTGGGGTGGTGGACTGCGGCTTTTCCTCCAGGGTGTTAGAGTGAATTCCTCCACATTTGGAGAGAAGAGGGCAAAGTTGAGGCCCCTCCTACCTGGGTTCCTGGATGTTTTTTTACAGATGTTGATAAGAGTTGCACCAACCTATTCATAATATCAATTCAAATTTAATATTCAGCTATCCAAATGGGGTGTGCATGGCCCTTCTTTTTGATCAATATCAGTTCAGTATATTGTTCATGGAAGGAGGTCCACTGTTTCCTCATAATTCTGAATGAGGTGTCCTTGATTGAGCACAGTTCTTCCACACTTTTCTCCCATAGTTCCGAGAGCAAGTGGAAGGCTCCTTGCCCACTCGGTTGGGGAGTGAGGATGAATGTTCATAATTTCAGACTGGATGAGTTCTGTTCCTTTGGTTGAGTAAGGCATACATGATCCCATCATTCTGAGCCTGGTGTGTTTCTTTTCGAGCTTCTTCAGGTGGAGGGGAAAGTTTATCTGCTTTGGTGTTGCTTACCTTCTCTTCATGATTTCGGTGGTTCAGAATGCATCCCTCTATGGCTACAGGTTAGGATCCAATCAAAAGTATATATACATATTACGTTGCGATCCAATTGCCCTAGCCACCAACATGGGATTTAGGGACCAAGACCCCATAACTTCAACCTCTAGTAGTGGAACCTCGGCTATCTGGTTGGGGCTGGCTTATAGCGATGATCAGTCATGTACAATTCTACCCTTGATACAGGAACTAAGTTCAGGGTGACGAGCATATCTGTTCTGGATGTAATGGGGTTCCCCCACTCAGGTACCACTCTCATCTTGGTACACCCATGATCTGTGCAGATGCTTTCTGTATGGATAATCCCCTCACAAGCCTCTCCACCTTCACAATGTGGGATTCTAGCTATAAGTGGCAGTGGAGGTAAGTATGTTACTCCCCAATAAGAGCCGATATTAGAGACTGGGATGTTATTAGTCTCCAAAAAGTGACAAAATTATCTGAATGAGGTGCTTATATACAGTACCAGGATAGAGGATGCATTGGCATAGGTGGAGAGTTTCATGAGACAAATATCACCAAGGGCAATTGAGTGGGGTATAAAAGACTGGAGCAAGCAAGAAAAAACCAGACTAATGCTTAGATGGGCAAAGAAGAAACCCTGGTGGTTGGGTAATAGCTATAAGTGTCAGCAGAGATAAGTATTATTGGAAATACATTTTCAATTTAGGAAAATGTTAACTTTTAATGATCTAACATGTTACTTTAGCATCATGTCCTTTAATCATGATCTAAGCTGGAAATCTATTTGGAATTTAGTCAGTTGTTTAATAATTCTCTCAGAATTTAACATTTTCTACTTATATTAAACTTATCTGTAGTTTCATGTCATTATCTTTTCAGAATACAATAAAGTTTAAGTTTAATTCTGTATGTTTTAAATCCTGTCATATTAATATTATAAATGGTGGCTCTCTTCCCACAATAGTGATGTTTAAATTTGATCACAAAAATTTGATTGTTTCAGTTAAAAGTTTAATCAGCTTAAGATTCTTGTTTTATCTTTGCATGTAATATTTTAATAGTGACTGTTAGCAATATTTTGCCTTTCTTGACTAACATTACATGAAATAAGATTTACAACTAAACATATAAATTAGTGATTTGATTTCGTAGGTTGCAGGTGAACATTGACTATGAATCACCTGAAGATACAACGTAAAGATTAAATCAAACAGAGTTAGTCATAAAATTTAGTAAAAGATAAAAATTAGTATATTTTTTAGTTGCTAAATTTATTTATTATTGCTGGCACAATTAGAAAAAGAAGACTTACCTGTGAGTGGATACAGAATTAGAAAATTTGAATATAGTTGGAGGTGGAGAACAAATGAACAAAAAAAAGCACAGACTGTCCAGAAACATTCTGGGAATTAAAAAGTACACAAATACAAGAACTTGAAAAATGTTAAAAACTAAATATATAATTACAATGGGACAAAAAAAATGCTCCAATGTTTTTAAAGGCTTAAATCTTCTTGGGTTCTCCAAACACTGAGATCATGTTTTGTTAAAATTATTTTTCATTTCTGGTATTTGCCTCTAATGCTTTTGGCCATTTCCACCCATTATTTTCAGCTTTTTATATATATAAATGTGTGATTTATGTCCTGGTTTGAATAGCCTACTGTTAAAATTTTTTTTCTTTCTTATCATAATGTTAATAAATAATTAAGCAAATTAACAATTAGTATTTAAGGAAATATCTTTCCACCATTCTTTTTTTCTAAGTTTGACTCTGGTAGTGAATATTGTCTTGTCTCTGTTTTACAAAGGCTTGTGGCTGTTTGTATTTTCAGGGAATATATATGTAATCATGTGAAACAGAACCAGGAGGATGTCGTTCTCTTAATTATTAAATATTTTCAGAAGTAAGCCAACCATTTGTTATACAATAATACAAAAACTAATGATGAGTGAATAAATATTGCTATGCAACATTATATATATATATATATATATGTAGTTATGCTAAGTCAGAGTATCATTTCCAGTACATGAATGAAAAGGAATATTTATTATTATTTATTTAAAGAATTCCAGTAGTAATGGCGTCATTACTGAGAATCCAGAGATTGAATTCTACCAGATGGTCTATGGTCTGTCTGTCTGTGTCATGATTACAATTGGACTCATCTTGGGTTACCTCTTTACAAAGGTGATGAAATGTTTTAATTTTTTGTGCAAGTAATAAAAAATCTTTTTGTTGGATGTGTAAATTGTTTCAATATTTATATAGGTTTCCAATACTGGATAGATTAATGGAAAATCTAACATTGTAATTTAAGAAAAAAGCACTCTTGGCATCAAGTACATTGGAAGGAAATTTATTAAACTAAACCAAAATTATCCTTCTTATTACTGTGTGATCCTGAGAGGTTTGTGCTTGCTAATCTTTGACAATTTTACTTCACCACCCCCCATAACAAATGACGAAGAAAGTATTGAATAAAAACTATTTAGCATTTCTTGCCAATGTGTTGTTTGAAAATTATTTTGTTTGCTAACTTTGAAAATAAGTTAATTAACCCACATTGAACACTGGTAAAGAAAGCATGAACTCAAACTAAAATTAACCTTTTTGCTGCTGGATGGCTTTCGGAGGATTTTGCTTACTAATCTTTAAAACCATTTAATTTACCAAAATTAAAATAATGAATAGTGAGTAAAGTAGTAAACTAGTCCAAATTAACATTTTTATTACTGAGTGGTCCCAAGAGGATTTTGCTTGCTAAACTTGAACACAATTTTATTTATCTAGAATCCCAGTCACTGAATTTGTTTGCACTTTCAGCTAGTCTATCACTGCTAAATTAGGGACAGTTAGCATGGATAGACCTCAAGTAGCTTTGCATGAAATTAAAAAAAAGCAAACAAACTTATCCAGAAATTATAGTGGGTGTTAACCTGAACTAAAATTATTATATTAGCTACTGTACGGCTGCAAAAAATTTGCTGGTGGAGAAAATAAATTAAATCAAATAATTTTTTCTTACTACCAAGTGATTCTGAACTCAAATCTCAAAATATTTTTATTCATTCAACTAAAAATACCAGTGGTAAAGATATTAAAAGAAAAAATTTTTTGTACAGGTCAGATATGGATTGTCTTTATGGCTGCTATTGAAAATATATGGTTTATTTTAAACCTTACAAACCTTTCTGTCTCTCTGGACATTTTAGATCTTTAAATATTATTCTTGTATCTGGTAGTAAGGTTTGAGTCCATATCTTCATTAACCATAGCACATAGTTTGTCAAAGTGAAGAAATAGTTTTATCACTGGTTTAAAGATGAGCCATGCAACTTGTAGACATAACAAAAAATCCAGGGTGAAAGTAAGAAAAGCTTGTAATTCAACTGTTCATAATTAAATGTAAGAAATAACTAAATTTAAATTTATTTTATCTAGACGACTATGAAAGCAGCAAGCAACCTTCATGATAATGTTTTTATACGAATCTTCAGAAGTCCAATGCATTTTTTTGACACTATTCCTTGTGGCCGAATACTGAATATTTTTACCAGGGATATAGATGAAGGTAAGTTTTTACATTGTCAGTTTTTGTATGGGCCGGATTCATTACAGTAGGTGTCTTTGACTTGTTGGCAATGAATAAATAAACAGCACGCAGTCCACTTGTTTCAAAATAATATATACAAACAAGACAAACATATATGCAAATATTGATTACACTGTTGGTTATTACAGTTGTATCCAGAGCTTTAAATAATTATTCTTTCCTTTGTCAAAGTTACTTTAGAACACAATTTGACAAGACGAATTATTCTTTATGTTCTGTTATTACAATAGTCTGTTATAATTTCACTTTAAAATCACCACTATAATTGTTGGTTACCACCGTTGTTTGCAAAGCTTTAAATAATTGTCTCTTTTTCATCAAAGTCCACACAGGCTGGTTCAATTACTTTAGAACACAAATAACAAAATTAATTATTTTTCTCTACTCTGTTGTTACAATACAATTTGTGATAGTCACTTTAAAAACTGCTACAATACGTTCTTTATAGCTGAACTCACAATGCCTCTTTCTAGATCTATCTCTTGAACTGGATGCATATTTATATCCCGACAGAGGCCTAGAACATTCCACACACTACTAGACGTTATGATGCAATAATACTCAATTAAAACAATGAGAAAAACTCAAAGTTCTAGTAACCTGATGCAATAATATAACACCAATTAATAACTATTGAACTACTCAACATATGATTCATAAACAGTTACGTAAACAAATCTATGATAAACTATTGCTTCTAAAAATAACTAAATTTAACACTTGTGCTATATAAACTATCTAAATGATAACATTCGCATTAAACTGAAACAGTCGTGTATATCTAAAATACATACTTAAACAGATTTTCAATGGCTATATCACTTTTTATTTCCAAAGCAGAAATATTTTTACCAGGGATATATAGATGAAGGTAAGTTTTTACATTGTCAGTTTTTGTATGGGCCTGATTCTTTACAGTAGGTGTCTTTGACTTGTTGCCTTTTTTCTATGATCAAGTACTTTTGAAATTTGAATATCCTCAAGATTTTAGAATATGAAGGAATTATTCTAGTGTGTGTAAAATTGTGTTTTTTGTCAGAATTAAAAAATACGACCATTGAGGGAGAGATGTAACAGAGAATATCATAATGGAAATGTATGTTTAACATACATACTTAGATATTTTTAATGGCTATATCACTGATATTCACTTTTTATTTCAATGTTCTTATAAATAATTAATTATTTTGTTTGCCCTGAATATTTGATTTTTTATTTGTCTTAAAATTCTAATGAAAACAAAATATACATTTTCAGTTGACTCTCAACTTCCTGTTGTAATGGATGCCTTTCTCCAACGAGTAATGATCATTGTTTTCAACCTCCTGCTTGTTGCTTTTGTTTCTCCATGGTTTCTGGTGGTACTTGCAGTTTTACTGGTAGGATTTGGTTTACTTCAGCGAATTTTTCGTGTGGCTCTGAGGGACTTAAAACGCCAAGAGAATGTTACAAGGTCTCCCATATACAGTCACATCAGTGCAAGTGCTGATGGTCTTGCTACTATATGTGCTTATCAAAAACAAGAAGACTTTGTTGAAAAGTTAGTTTATAAACTTTTACTAATATTTAAAATATACTAGTATAGATCTAAAATGTAATGTTTAAATCTAAATAAGTATTATCAAATTACAAGTTAGTATTAGGTGCACTGAAGAGCATTTTAGTATTTCTATACAGTATTATTTTAAATTTTCATATGATTCAGGTTTTGACATTTTTGTGGAGAATATGAACTTTAGTTTAAGAACCTATGGTTTAAAAATATGAACGTTGATGACTTTTAAATAATGCTTAATGAAACGTTCATTTTGGTCTGATATACTCAGTGACTTTTAAAATAACACTTAATTATAATTTTGGATACAAGTTTTGAGCTTGTTAGTAAATATTTTTTCATTCCTTATAAGTATCACAATGAACAATTATTTTTGGTTAGTGCAAGTTATAGATATAAATTTTGAATGCTTCTGAACATGTTCACAGAGATAAGCAACCATATTCTTGTTTCAGATTTTGTCAACTAGTTGATACAAATTCTTCTCCTCTTTACCTATATCACTCGTCCATACGTTGGTTGGGCTGCCGTATGGATGGTCTCAGTGTTGTGATGATTCTTATCATAACTGTGCTGGTTGTGATCATTGAGAAAGAAGTTGGAGCTGCATATGCTGGCTTAGCCATTGCTGTTGCTATGCAGGTGAGAGAAAAGTGCACTATATTATTCAAGAGTACATGATTGAGAAAGAAAACTAGTGATTTTAAAATCTTGACAAACTGGAAATGATTATACAAAAATTATTTAATAATAAGAATTAATAAAGTATTTCTGTTCCATTTGTTTTTTTTTTACGGTCAAATATTTTTGAAATTTGAATATCCCCACAAGATTTTAGAATATGAAGGAATTATACTAGTGTGTAAAATTGTGTTTTTCGTCAGAATTAAAAAATACTACCAGTGAGGGAGAGATGTAACAGGGAATGTCATATTGGAGTGTTCTTTATTTCAGAATGAAGAAAACATTTTGATTTGGTATTGTTTTAACAGTTTATTATTCTAACTGAATAAAAAAGTTGCACAAAATGTTTTTGATAACAGTATCACCAAGTGAATTATGCTACAAAAAAAGTTTAGCAAACAAATGCATAATTTAAATCCAGAGTGCTTGGGTTAATATGGCTATTTATGCAAACTGTATGTGTATACAAAAACTACTTTGTTCTAATATAAACAGATTGTTTTTAGATTTCTTGTTCTGAAGTGATTTCTCCTAATACCAAGTCAAAAACAAAGAAAGGACAACAGAATGTGCATTTTTATTTGTTTTGTAGAGATAAAACTGAAATGTTTCTACCACTCTCTCTCTTTCAGTAGCATAGGTTAGCATGTTATTTTGTCTAGATTAGCATTTTGTACAACCACAGTTAAGACTAGTGCATTAGTTATAATTGGCTACTGCTATTGTAGTTGTGTGCTGGTATGTTTCAACATACTGACTATGTGGTGCTACTATATCTTGTGGTGTACAAATATATTTACACTATAGCGTACGGCCTACACAGATACTATCATCATCACTGTTTTAACTTTCATTTATTTGCAATAAGCACCATTTGTTATTAACACTTTTAAACTAATAAAGTACAAAATAAAATTATATAATGTTTTGGGGGCAAATATAATCAGAATGAAATAAATTCCAACAATCAAAACTAGCACAATTATAGCCTTCATTTAAGGTACTCTTTTGGAACACACAACTAATTAAATTATTGATGAACAAAACCATGGATAGATATAAATTATTTAGCAAGAAATTGTGTTTTATTGAATCATTAAAATGGTGATGCTGATAGTACCTGTGTAGACCCCACGCTATAGTGTAAATATCTTTGTAGACTACATGCTATAGTAGCATCGAATATGTCCCTCTTTCATCAATAATAACTAGTAATCTAAAAAAAAATTGAATTTATGTAATTTTAGAGGCATTGATTTAAAACAATATGTTTATGAGATACATTATAACATGAATGAATATGGTTTAAATTATTTGACAGTTTACAGCAAGATACTGCTTTTCCTTATCTATAAAATTCATAACTTTGAAAGCTGTAATTTTAGAAAATACTAAATCTGGTTGAGATAGCATTTAGAATTTCAGCTTGAGGTGTTAGTTTTTGAAGCTTGGCCAGTCTAAAAACTTACCTACTTTTTCATAGGATAATTCTTTGACCTTGAGTTTGGGGGATATATGAGAACTATCATGTTGTTTAGTTTCCACATTTTAATATCCTTTTTTTCTGGTTGGTCAGCTACAAGGAGAAATTGTATTGTGAATTTTTTGGCTGTCTCGGATGGAGATTTGTTCCAGCTCTCGGAGAAGGCTGTTTATTTCTGACTTCAAATAGCAGAACTCACTGTATAAGTCCAGTCTTTTGTGCTGCCTTATTCCCACTGCTGATCATTCACATTTTAACTTCATTTTAATTTCAAATTAATTAATTTTTATTTCACTTTCATTTATCTTATTAATCTGGAAGGTATATAATACAATTGCATGTAACATGCTATAGAAAGTGTTTTGTTGTGTTCGTGTTATGTTTGTTTCTTCTCTTCTGTACTTGTTTGCACATTAACGTTCACTCCAACCAAATCTTTGAAGCTGTTGTGGGGTAGGTTTACCTGTGTGCCATTATTTCTCTAAACCAAGTATGCTAGATAATAAATTTTTGTATCACATTTACTTTGAATAATTGTGTGTGTAAATACATGATGTGTATGGATAATTTAGAAACAGAACTGTTGTGATTAGCTTTAAGTATTTATTTCTTAACATAATTTTCTAACTACTGACAAGTAAGCATAACAGTTTGAGGTATCCAAGTTTTGTTAAGTGTAGAAGTATTTTTAAGGTCCATATGGATCCCATAGGTTTTTAAATATATTTTTTAGACTATTATACACCATATTGTTTATAGGACAATGAATTTCTTGAATACTAGGTTCCTAATAACATATAAGTGGTACACAAAAATTTAAACGAAAGTATTGCAATGTATTTTACATAGAAAATAAATAATTTCACCCAGTTCCTTATACTTAGCATTGTGAAAGGCAAATACATAAAATTATTTATTATGATTCAAAATGTGGACCACACCAGTAATAGGTGGTAGAAAAACTGGTTGGTAATATGAGGGTTGAGGTGATTGTGTTCCTACGGTGATTTTATTAGAGGATTATACAATTCTCTAAACATCTACTTTGTTTTCTAAGGAATCTGGTGAGAGGGTAAGAGTCAAGATATTTTTATGGTTATCATAAACATTGTTATCATAAAAAAGTGTTTGTATTTTCTAGTTGAGTGGGATGTTCCAGTATGCTGTGAGATTGGGCTGCGATTTAGAGACTCGGTTCACCTCAGTAGAGAGGATCCATTCGTACATTCAAGAGCTAGAATCTGAAGCTCCTCCAATATTAGAAAACAACAGACCATCTCCAGATTGGCCTACAAGAGGACGCATTAGTTTTCGAAGAGTCTGCATGAGATATAGGCCAGGACTTCCACTGGTCTTGAAAGAACTAACATTTGATATTAGTCCTCAAGAAAAGATAGGGATTGTAGGAAGAACAGGGGCAGGTACTGGCTATTTTCATCCAAAAATTTGTGTGCTATATTGAAGCTGTAAATGTTGGAGTTAATGCAGTTTATATAAGAATTCTGTGGAATACTACTTTAACAAATATAAGAACTCATATATGTTAGTTTTTTCATTTCAAAAATTCTAATAAATAGTAATGTTTGTTATTTACAGTACTACATAATTTTACTTGCCATAATTTTGTAATTCTGATATAGATTTTATTTTGTGAATGTAATTCTTTCTTTCTAGCATTATTGGCCTTTTAATCTGTTGGGTTTTCTTTAACTGTTTTAGGTAATATGGTTCAGTGTATTTCACTGGAACCAGTTGCCTTTCCAAAGTATTCTTATGGTATTCTTTGTATGATTACTCAGTCGTATATGCAAGATACTGCTTTTCTTCTTTAAACTTGAAGTTACTTAACATTTTCATTAAGCCTAAGTCCATTAAATTTTATAGTTTACACATGTTTCAGGTTTGCTTTAATATAATAATAGAGTATTGACTATATAGTGACAATAAAGAGAGAGAGAGAGAGAGAGATAAAAATAAGTATCACGAATGTTTCCAGTTTTAATAAGAAAACCTTTGCTGATATTCAAACCTACTTTCTATTTCAAAGAATGAACCAAAAATAATGTATTAAGATGCCTTTTTCATTTGTCTTTCTAGTTCTTAAAGTTTATTTGAACATAGCAAATAACCACATTCTTGTAGTTTTGCTTCTTGTTTACTCTAGAGGATGTACTGCTTGATTTTATTGTTTAACAAAAATTGTACTTTATATGACACAAGGTTGTGGTGTTGCTTCATACATTTTTACTTCTTTCTGCCTGTTCATTTCTTAAGAAATTACAAAATCTTTGTCATTGTTCTCAGTTTATTCATTATACTGGCTGATTTTACTCTTGCATCTTTCTTTAGAAACATCTATAAAGATGGTTGAGTTTGACATTAAAACTATTTTAAATATGCAAATCAGCAAGTCATGTGACAACCACTTATGAAATAAAGTAATGGTGGAACAATATTTATAAGAACTTTATTTTTTCATTGTTTGGCATTTCATAAGTAGTGTAATACCACCAAAAATTGATTGCTTTTGGGAAGAGTATTTAACCCGTTACTTGCCATGTGAGGGCAAAATCATTTGTGAATTGAAAAAATGATGAACTTATCTTTTATTGGATTTCAGATTTTACTTTTGTGAATAATAGCATAACAGTCAATTATTTGTACAAAATTGTAATATTTAGTGAAGTTTAAAGAGGAATTTAATGAAAAAAATTCCTAAAATACGTTTTAGACTGTAAATAAATGGCCTTTAAGAAGAAAATTGTTTTTCAAAAATGTTTTTAAGATATTTCCTTTCACTTCAGCACTGGTCCTGCCATCTATGATTGGTATCTAAACCTTTTTCTAGTCTGTTTTCTTTATAAAACTGTGTCTGGGCGTGTTAAACCTCAGTTGTAAAAGTTTTAGCCAATCCTAGACGAAGGTGTCAATTTCAGTACCATGTTATTCCAATTGCTGTATCTACCACTGGATGATAAGGAAAGCACGTGATGAAACGTTGTTCTCTGGATTTTACAATAT